TCATTCTATGATTCTATGACTGGGAGAAGTGAATTGCTAGCAGAAGTCAAATGCCTATAGAGCAAAAATATTGCTTTGTTGTAATAGGCCTTTTCATGGACAAAATAGGATTTGTCCAGCCTGCCTTCAAAAAAGGTGTAAAAATCTGTTCAAAAAGTTATCTTTTTATATTATTTTGCAGATTCTATCCTTCTAATTAAATAGATATGGATTTTAGAGTAGATCCCACTCTACAAAATCATCCCTAATCTTAAGTGAGCAACAATGTAGCAGGGTGTTTATCTTTTTTCTATACCTGGGTAAGTATTGTGAGCAGGCCCTGAAGAGCATCCCATAGTATTATCTGCAGCATCATGTGGTGACAGGGCTGGCTGGAGGGGCTGGATTGTGAGGCAGTCATTCAGGATGTCCTGGCCAAGCTCTGAGCTCGATCGCAACTGAAACACAGGACATAAAAGAGAAACGATTGTAATATTGACCAAAAAAAAAAAAAAAAAAAAAAAAAAAAAAAAAAAGAAAAAAAAAAAAAAAAGAAGGAAATAAATCACAAAAATCCTTAAAAAAACAATGAAAAAATTATAATGAAGAGACGTTGAAGGGTTAGAGAAAGAACTACAGCACAAGTAGTATTCTTCTCTTTTAAATCCCGGTTAATATCTTCCATTACACCAGGCATTTTTCAAATATGAAGAAGAAAACTCTTTCAGATGCTTAACAAGACTGTACTCAGGACAAGGGCTACTTGTACAGATAGGACCTTGGACAGATGGACTTAACGTGTGTTCTCTTGTCATACACTGCAAAAGAGAGAAGAGTGTCCTGATTAATAGATAACAGAGATTTATCAAATGTCTGACATCTCTTATATCAGCAAAGGGATAATATAAAAAATACAAATATGTTGCTGGTGGTTTAGTGCCCTGAACTGGCTCACTGAAGAACCATAAAAGCCAACTAAGGCGCTAGTGGCAATAGAAACCAGGGACTGGGAGCAAGCAGCCAGGAGTGGTATCATTCAGGATGGTCAGGATAAAAGTGGTACCACTTTATATGGACCAAAGTTGTTTCGAGACCACATTGTTAAAGTGACTAAGACTGCATTTGTTTCACATTATGGCTGAACTGATCTGAAAGTGAGTGGTCTGTCACTGCCCTAATCCCAGCTGCATGCATGGCCACTTTCCTGGTACTTTCCTTTTCCAGACAGTAAGTCTGTTTATCTGGCTGATATAGCAGAAAATTCATTCTGCAAACAATTAATAAACAAATTCATAAGAAGAGTTTTCCTCTGGATGAAACTGATTGAGCAGCCTCATCCAGAGGCCACAATAAAGTACCATAAAAACATAGAATTAAAAGAAAAATCACAAAACCAAAAGAAAGAAAAGGGGAAAAAGCCTACTGCAGCACCCAGACACAAGGCTGTCCTAGCTGTACTGCAAAACGGCACCCTGAGTTTTCCAGCAGATGGATGCTGCTGCAGGCTGCTGGAACGGATGCCTGTCCCCACCCCCTGCCTGATGTTACTGTCATATATAACAAAAATTTGCCCGACCCTTACAGCCATCTCGGCTCACTGGCTGGTGTATTCCTTTTAAAGCATGAAAAAGGAGGGTCTGTGCTCCTGTGCACACAGGCCACTGCAGTGGCCGAGATGCAGATAAATATCCTGTCCTGCCACCCACGCTGATGAAGATAGTTCATGCAGCATGACAGACTGAAACCTGACTTAGTGAAGTAGGATTTGGTGCACTCACGCATCAAAGTCCCAAGAAGCAAATCTCACAGATGCAACTGAGGCTTCTGTTTGGTGCCACGAAAAGTGAGCAGGTGACAGTAACTAGAACATAACCTAGCACGTCTGAAAAACTACTAAGGGAAGGAAGAGCAACAAAAAGAGAAATTTCTGTCCATTCTATACTAAGAAATTAAGAAAAAGTAGTAAGAGGCAATGACTCTGAATGCAACTGTAGAAAGACTCATTGCTGTGCCACAAGGTGCTGATAATGACTCAAATTACTTCTGATCATATGTATTAGTATAAAACCAGTGCAAGAGAGTGAAGAGTTGGTATACACATCACAAGCACCTGAGTTAGGGTGACTGTATGTATTTTACACATTTTTCTATTTTGCACTGTTCAGGAGATTTATTTTGCATTTGCAAATCCTTTGGTACTGAGAACAAATCTATCATGACACCCTGTGCTGACATAAATTTTCTGGTTTGCCCTACAGTCAACACTTATAAAAACAAACAAAACCCAGGATCAATAACAGAAAACCAAAAACAGTGAAACAAACACTGGGAGACAGCTGTGATCTGATTTGTGAAGATAGTTCTAAATCCATGCACTGGTTATTAGTGGTTCGTATTTACAGTCACAAGGGCTAGAAATATAGATTTTATAAACTTACATACACATACATACAGGTATTGTATGTTATAATATGTAATTTTAGAATGACAATATACATATTTAACATACGTGAAATAACCTGAGCAAGAGGTGGGTATTACACTGATTTGTGCAACTGCAGACACACACTGCTAATTCAAATTACCACTAAAAATACTACCACAGACCTTCTATAAACCCTCAGCAGATAATAGGTGATGGGAATAACTTTACTCTCCTTTACTGCAGGGAATGCATGCGAGTTGCTCTTGAAGAGTAATTACTGTTGCACCATCAGAAAGGGTAGGGAGCAAGGGGTAGAGGACCTCTTCTCTACTCTACTGTTTAGCAGAGCAGGACCAGAAATATGTCAATATTTTGCTTCAGTCAAATATTTTTGTGTATTTTATAGAAAACTTTTAACAAAAAGTTTAAACCCCCCCAAACCAATGTTTTGCATTTTGTCAAGAGCAGGGAAAACTGAGTTACCATTTTTCTTTAGTACAGAACCATCAATGAAAAGACAGATGACCTTAAAAACAAGCAAATAAACCAGTCATTTGTTAAATCCATAAAATTTTGTCTTCAGTTAAAAAAGCTAAGCTATAAAGAAGAAAAAAAATTGACCAGATATAACGGCTGCAGTGTGTTTCTTGCTTTCCTTTGAAGACAATGCATTTGTTTTCCAGCCTGAACTGTAGATTTATCAACCAGCTGTAGAAGCAGTTGACATTCTCTTTGACTTCTGTATAAATCATAATTTCCCAGAATCCTGGCTGCAATGCCTCCTTTCCCCCATGATCACCTTGCTTCCCTCATGATCTCTCAGCTGAGCACCAGTACAATCACATTGGGACTGAAAACTTGCCAATCTGTTTTTGAGAATGATAAGGTTAGAAAGTTACCTTGCTGAATGATGAAATCAGTAACTGATAATTTTGCCATTTTGAGCACAGACATTTTCTCTGTGCTGTTACGTAGCCTAAATTTATGGCAGACCAAAGTGCAAGTTAACAATCAACTGCTCAGCTCACTTACAACTTTCCTGTATGAACATTTGTTCTAAATAATAGATTTTCAATTTTAATAGCTCAGTTGCATGGCTGACTTGTGAAGTTTCGTATTTGAGAATCTGAGACACTCCCATTACCACAGTGTGGCAGTTTTTTCTAATACACAAAACAAATCACTGTCAGTTATCATTTACAATCGTTTTACTTCTGTGACAATCAACTGTTTATCAGCTTTCAGAACAATGGATGGAAATTCTACTCCTGTACATTTTAGATATGATTAAATAGTTACTCAAGATTAAATTATATAAGCAGAAGTAATTAGAAGGGAGTAAGATCCTACATTCTTCAATTTTCCGTTTCATTATATTTGAGACCACGAGCAGAGACGTACTGTTGATTCGATGCATTACACAATTCCAGAGAAAATGTCTCCTTAAAGGAAAAGATAATTTGTTTTATATTTCTCTACCCACTGTGTGTTTTATCTGAGATCTGCATGTTTTCATACAACCTGGCTAGTTTCTTCAGCATTATTCCTGTTCAATAGAAATCAGACACCATCAAGGAAAACATAATAAATGTGTGTTTATTAATACCCTTAGTCAGAAAAGAAGTAGTTTAGGATTTCTCAAACATTATTAGTTTGTTTCCAAATGACATAAAATAGGACCTCAGTAACTTAAAAACCTGCCTGTATGTACTCAGATTAACTTGAGTAATTCTTCAGCAAAGTCTGGACTCCTCCTGTCATTTAAACATGACATTTATGTCATCAAGTCACAGCATTTTAAATCTTGCTTTTGTGAGAGCAGGCTTAATGGACTGTATGTATGCTGTATTTCCATAGGCAAGAGAGACATTGGTTATAGTCTATTTATTCTGATGCAAGTTAGACCTGTGTCTGCCATGTCTAAAACCAGCAAAAACTCCCTAAATACTGCTATGTTTTATTGAGAGGAATTGTTTTACACCAATTGTAATAGCTCTATAAGTGTATTTTTGTTTTCATTATAAAGCTAAGGAGAAATTTCTGTTATTCACATAGTCTGCGTATTGAGTTTACTAAACACTATTTGTCAAGCAGAGAATAAGCCAGTAGTCTTCCACTCATTTTTATTGTCCATAAGTTAAGTTGGCATTAGGAAAGGGAAGCATGACCTGTCTAAATAGAGCTCTATATTGTACTAGTTCCTCTGAAGGAGTAGCCAGAATTTAGTATTTGCTTGTGCAGTTAGAGTACAACTATGTCCTCTTAGCATCATGACACTGACAGTACACAGATGTGACCACTAGAAAATTACAAGTTCAATATGAAGCCATGCTGTGTAACAGGGTTTACTCTTATTATAGGTTTGCTTGCTAGATTATCCCTTTGCTCATGCACATCAGCTTCAAAGTGCAGTGCTTTCTAGCACAGTACTAAACCTTTTTGAAAACAGACAATAAAAGTTTACGCTTGCTAAGTGTCCTAATTCTTGCCTCTGGAGGCTACCAACATCTTGGGGCAAAGCAGCAATGCAGACAGAAGGGTTTCCCCAATAACCTTTGTTTCCAATGAGTCATATGTGTAGGATTTCTAGAGAGCCACAACATTCATTATTCTGCAGTCTACCACAGCTTTCAGATATGTGCACATGCTACTTTCATCTGCTCTTACATTCTGTTTCAATTAAATCTTTGGCAAGGAAAACACAGTAAAAATCAAGCCTATTTGCACAGTAGGGATGTTAGATTCTGTACATGAAATAGTTATTTTTGCTCCCGTCAAAGTTTTACTACAAACATTTGAATTCAAATACAAAAATGGCTTCCATCTATGTGACCTAGCAAAAATTGGGAAAACATACTGAAAATGTTTTTCAGTCTCTTGCATTAAAAATCAAAAGGAGCTGGAACTTTCTCAATCAGCTAACTTTGGCAAATTTCAAGTCAAGAAGAAATTCTGATTTTGAAGCACTACTGTTACATTAAGATTGATGATGCTGAAATGAAGTCTACCTTCATTATATATGGAACGGAGAGT